CATTGGCTGCCAAAAATTGGATTTGCTCACACAAGCTTATCCATTATCCATTCGTCCTGAAATATACTAGCCAGAAATGCGATTGCTTTATCAAAAAGAGAAACATTTTGAAATATGAGTGTTTTTACACTCTGGAAAATCATTTCTAAAAATTCACATACGCGGTTTTGCACTTTAAACGACGATATAAATGTACGCACCTGAGTTGTATTCAGAAACTTGAATAACATTTTAACCACTTAACTCCTACCATAATGAGTCTTCTTCCCCCTTATTTAAAAGAAGTTCCATAAGTAGTTAGGGCCATCAACGAAACGAACATTCCACATGTGTCTATAGTGATATTATCTAACGTTTATTTGTTCAGTGACCCCATTTCTTCCTGGAATGTGCTAGAGTAGACGACCACAATAGCTTACTTAGTTTAGTAATCTTGATGGATTCACTAATCCCCAATAATATAAAAGGGTGTGTGAAATTTCACACGGGTGGGTCGAAGATTAATTGAGCCTTCATTAAAGGTGTCTTCCATCGGGAACTCTCTACCAGTCTTAAATTTAGGCTTCGAACTCACCGAATAGTACTCCTCGACAGCGGAAGCAATGAATTGGCTGCTGAACTCTGTATATTCGACTAGGTGGGGCAAACATTTAATATGATAGCCAAAGACAATCAGAATGGTTGGACGAAATTTTCTTTCTCTGCTAAGGCCTTTGATTATTTTATAATTAGACTTATGCATATGGGTTCTTGGGTACGGTGATGTGGCATCAGCATCGGCTTCAGACTCAACGAGAAATGCTGGAGATTAAGTGCCTTTGCCTATTTGCGAACTGCTCTTAAAAATGCTAATTCAGCGCGCACTAGATGTAAACCAGCGCAAGGCCAACTGTAAGAGCCGTTTGGTCCAGGGAGAGCTCCTGAGGGAGTTTTGACAGTAATTTGTCCGATTTTAAGTGTTAGCCTAGAGACCACAACTGAACGCAGCAATATACTTTAAACGACGATATGTATATGTATGGGAAGATTGATTGTTTAATACGAGTACATACCTCTTTCGGTGGCTCTGAAATGCATTTTCACGGATGGCCCCAAAATGGACATCTGCACAGGATCTGGTGTCTTCTCTCAGGAATAATCGCTGGAAGAGTCCTATAGATTCCCAGATCAGTGCTGCGTTTTCTATGCTAAGATATGTAGATGCAATTGACAGGGCGGCAAAGCTGGTAAGCATGATTGACCTACCTCCATCTAAACTTGCCTTCGTTGTTGATGCCAAGCTGCCATAAAATCCATACGGTCGGCAAAGACTAATTAGATATGCGGTAAAGATTGCCGCAGGTCTCTACAAGCTCTTCAACAAAACACAATCAGTCTTTATTGGACTTGCTAGAGAATCGGGATGGTTTAAGGACATGTAGGGTTAGGCATGGGGAAACGCTCAGGGCATCGCAATAGGTCTTTATGGCCTCCGTGTGAATTCTTTTCAAAGCTGCATCTTAACATAATTTAGCCATAATTTTCTATCCACGCAAATTTCGTTTTATTAAATTTTTCTACGCAAATTTCAGTGCTCATAATCGTAAAGAAATAGCTTATTAGGCTTCATTTACTTTAATTTTAAAAATTAGTACTTAGCGTGCTCGACCCTATTAAGCTGGCATTTCAGGGTACTATTTGATATATACATAAGGACATTTCAAAGTTAGAGGGGGGCTCGAGCACCCCCCCTGCCCCTACCTGGCTACGCCCATGATCTTGCCTACTCTTTTGGACATCTTATTTTGAGAAGATAATTTAAAAAGATTTCCCGCGTACATAGTTATGAAGCGCAGTGCTGCATGCATAAGTCAATGCAAATAAGTTTTCCATCAAAGATTTATTGCCAGTTCGTCCAGACTACAACCATACATATATACAGCCACTTTTTTCTGCATCATCTTCCCTTTTCGCACTTTTGCACTCGATTCACAAGCAACGCCTTTATCATTTATGTGCTTCAGCCATGCAAAACTCTCTTATTTGCACATATTTATAAACAGGAAAGTTTTTCGCATTCGTCTGCACATTGTGCCGTTATGCCAGCTTTCTTTTCCTGCAACTTCTTTTAATTTACGCAAAAATTTATTCCATGCAAAAGTTAAAATACCAAAGTGTAAACACAAATACTTTCTTGTAGCAGTGAACGCGCTAGCGTAGACGTAAAGACACGCATACATGCACATGCTTGTGTGCATTCAACCCCGAAGAACTTTAACAAGCCCGGGATCTCGGAATGTAAAAATTCTAGTCCCGGGATCCCGAGATTTTTCGTCTTAGGGAAGCAGAATGCTCCTTAGTAAAAGAGTATGTAATTTGATATTTAAAAAAATTTTATTCCGAAATATCTATATTACTTGTCAAAAACATTTACTCATATTTGCAGAAATCCTTTTCCAAAACAGGCCATCAAAGTAAATTGAAGAACAACTCTGCCACACTGTAAAAACATGTTGTGTTTTCAATTGCCACCAGATTTTTCGTTATTACACAGTTCTTGCACAAAATATTTGCACAAGTACAGTTATTCAGGCAGGTCCTGAAATTCACTTCTAAGTGCAAATGGCTCGAGTTCACTTTGAATCCAAATTTTGGTGTTCTGTATTTCTCATGATTCATGTCAAATAAATTCTTTTTAACCGACTTCTTTTTTTATACCCGAGCGCACTTGTGCACAAGGGTATTATAACTTTGTTCACATAACGGTTGTTTGTAACAGGCAAAACGAATCGAGATAGATATAGACAAATGTATACATAAATGATCAGAATGAAAAGAGAAATCGATTAAGCGGTGACTGTCTGTCCGTCCGTCCGTCCGTCCGTCCGTCCGTCCGTCTGTGCACACGATAACTCGAGTAAAAATTGAGATATCTTAACGAAACTTGGTACGTGAACTTCTTTTGGGCGTGGGACGGATGGTATTGAAAATGGGCGAAATCGGATAATAACCACGCCTACCTCCCATATAACGGTAATTTTAAGAAATACGAAAACTGCGATATTTTAGTAACTACTGAAGATAATACATTCAAAATTGATACTTACAATGAGTTTCAGACGGAAAACATGAATATTATAAATTTTTGGAAAATGGGCGTAGCCACGCCCACTTATGGTTACATGTGTATATCTTGGTAACCGCCGCACCAATTTCTTCCAAACTTGGCACAGTTGTTGGCCTTAGTACAGCATACTAAATGGCTGAAAATTTTAAAAATCGGACAATAACCACGCCTACCTCCCATATAACGGTAATTTTCAGAAAAACGAAAACTGCGATATTTTAGTAACTACTGAAGATAATTCACTCAAAATTGATATTTGCAATAAGCTTTAGACGACAAATAAGAATATTACAAAATTTTGGCAAATGGGCGTAGCCACACCCACTTATGGTTACATGTGTATATCTTGGTAACCGCTGCACCAATTTCTTCCAAACTTGGCACAGTTGTTGGCCTTAGTACAGCATACTAAATGGCTGAAAATTTCTAAAATCGGACAATAACCACGCCTACCGCCCATATAACGGTAATTTTCAGAAAAACGAAAACTGCGATATTTTAGTAACTACTGAAGATAATTCACTCAAAATTGATATTTGCAATGAGTTTTAGACGACAAATAAGAATATTATAAATTTTTGGAAAATGGGCGTAGCCACGCCCACTTATGGTCACATGTGTATATCTTGGTAACCGCTGCACCAATTTCTTCCAAACTTGGCACAGTTGTTAGTCTTGCTACAGCATACCAAATGACCGCAAATTTTTAAAATCGGACAATAACCACGCCTACCACCCATATAACGGTAATTTGGAGAAATACGAAATCAATAAATATTTAAGCTAATTTATTCAAAATTAATGCTTGCAACAATTCTCTACCAAGAAATACGTTTATGACAAAATTTTGGAAAATGGGCGTAGCACCGCCCACTTGTGATCACATATATGTATCTCGCTAACCGTTCTAGCAATTTGTACCAAGCTCGGTATGGTTATTGTGCTTGCCACATAAAAGCAAACCGTTGAAAATTGTTGAAATCGGACTAAAATTGAGATCGCTTTTCATATAACGGTAAATTTCAGATATGCTTGAAATTTCAATATTTCGAAATTTAAGGACGCTAATTTACTTAAAATGTATACACCCCGGCTTATCATGTAGCGGTAGCTTTCGGAAAGGTGGAAAACATATATTTAATACTTGCGCCGCAGCAAATTCGGTGTTGTCATATACAAAAATTTTAAATTTTGTGCGTTATGTACATTGAAATTCTCATTTCGTGTTGGCAATAGCCATGAAAACCATAATGAACGTGCAACCCTGTGCCAAACTCGACATAACCACCTCCGAGCAAACTAAGCAGCCGCCATTTAATTTGGCAAACAAAAGTTTGTCTGCATAACACCGACCTAAGTGTATCTGCGTGTATGTTATTTTGCTGCACCACGGTGTTGATCCTGTGGAAATTATTCTGTGTGAATGCAAATTACTGGCACGCTTCTCGCATTAAATCTTTATTATTCTATGTTATTCATTTTTTCTTTGTTTTTCATCTGCTTCGCCTCGCCGTCTTTTCGCAACGGATATTCGTCGCAACCAGAGTATACCAGTAGAAAAGGTGTTTGTTTTTGTAGCTGATTCGTGGTGAAAGTCCTTTATGGGGACCAAATTTCCCCACAAGAAATTGAGCGCATGGTTGCTTTTGGGTCCCAAAAGAATGAATATTAGAAAACATTTAAAAAAAGTCTATGGTAATAAAATTATATGCAACTAAAAATAATCACAATAATTTGCACTTATGAGTTAATGTGATAATCATGTGTAAAAACTCTTTTCAACTATTATTTTTCACAAATAAATTTTGCGGATCAGTTTGCTCTGAGCGCTTGTGTTGTTTACCAATAAAATGCAGCCCTGTTGGTTTTATTTCTGTATCGCATCGCGGTGAGTTTCTATTTCTTGGTAATTCGGTTTGTGAAATGGTAAACAAATTATTGAAATTTATTTATTTGATGTGTATAAGAATTCATTAATGCATTTTTTTTTGTATTTTCAGACTATTAATTACAAACACAGCATCATCAACGGTGATTGCAAGAACTACTGCCATCCCTGCGGTTTTTCCTCTTGGTAAATGCGTTCTGGTCGTGACCAATGGTGGTCTCCCAAATCGGCCGGGAATAAGGTTAGTCATTTTAAATTTTATATCTCTATTCGTCGACATTATATGACATGTCATCATTGCAGGCTATTGTTGCAGAACAAAACGCCGCAACCACTGCTGTGGTAAATATGTTCCAGCAGAACTGCCCACCGCCGTCGGTGTAATGATTTCGATAGCTGAACAAACGCCATCTCCTGGGCATTCCCACAGCTTGTCGACACTAGCTATTATATCACGTGTGAATGCAACTGGGGCTTAATTTGGTTATTGACAGTGCAATAGTACCATGTCATTGGCAAAAACACTAAGGGTTTCTGGCACATAGAGGTTGTAAAGTTTTTGGTATCGATGAACATACTCGAAGAAGACGATGGCCGAAAACATATGATGAAACATCTTCTGGCATTCCTTTGACAATCGTTAAGTCAGACGGAGGCTTCACATACGATATTTCACACATGGCTGGAATTCGTTAGCGGACAGAGCATACATTTACAAAATATTTATCGTTCAGCAGAACGTGCATGCATATTCGATTCCGATTTTATGGGTCGACTACGGAGGACAACCGAACTTCAGTTGGTTGGCCAGTGGCTGAAATGGTATTACCGATGGCAACTAGCAACTGAAAGCTGGCAACTAAGTTGCTATATTGGCAAGTGCGTTTTTGTGGCTGCCGGGAATTTTTGATTGAGATACTTTATTTCTTTTTTCAACTTTTTTTTTAAATTGTACCACCTTGAACTTTATGAAACTTAATTATTGCTATTCATAATAAAAAACATTTTCATTTCAGTGGCGCTGTCCATCGGCAACCCAACTGAGGTTACGTTCCCATCCATAATCGATCCATAAGTCATAATCGCACGAACTAATCAAGGCTATCATAGAATCCATCGTAGTCCGATTTTTCGTGAAATCTACGAAAATGCTATTAAGTTCGAGTAGCTACGAACGCAGCGCTTGCTTTGAATACACATAGCAGTTCAGATTCAGTGATCGCTTTTTCGTAGATTTTAAGAAAAATTGGACTACGATGGATTCCGCCACCAATATGTTTTCTCCATTGACAAGATGTTGGAGAATCGCGGCAGCACAGCCGTATTCCTACTCTATGCTCTTACGCGCATATGCTAAATTTCTCGCACCTAGCTTAAGTGCTTGACAAAGGCAGAAGGCATATCTTCAACATTGTAACTTCGACAGAACCAAAAAATGTTCTCAAAACTATTAAACATAAAAAATTACACGAATAAAACTCATAATTTAAAATAAAATATCGCAATTGTTTTTTATATGTACATACATATTTACAAAATGAATCTTAAAGCACCCACAGTAAGTCCTAAACATATAAATGACTAATAACAAAAATAATAAATAACAGTAATATGAAAAAGTATGTCGAGAAATCTCTAAATAGTAGCTAAACTGTATCTCAATAATAACAGATAATTTTAAGCAAAAAATACAACCGACTTCAATGCGCATTCAGGTCGTTCTGGTTATGTAGATCCGACTGTCTTCCCTTTTTTTAAATCGTAAAAAAAAAATTATTACGTATTCTACAGAAAAAATCCAGATTCATATTTAAGGATTTTAAGTAAAAATAAATAAAGGAAAACTTGTTCGTGATATCTTGGCCAAGGTGTATTCATGGTACAAAAATCCGAAGGTAAAACCGTTGAAAGGCAGCCTGAACATTTTTAAAGTTTGCTAACATTACAAAAATGTTTTCAAATTTCCAATCTCACAAATACATTCTCATTATCAGTCTCAAATAAATGAAAATTTCAATATTTTCATCTATTTGTTTTTTGTTTTACCTTTAATTGGCATTTGAGTTGCTCTCAAAATTTCAATTTTATAAAATAGACAAACTACAAAAAGTAAATGATGGCCGACGAATTGTGCGGTTTTACCTTTAAATATTTGTATCATGGGTGTATTAAATGCTTTTTCTTAAAATTTCAGACCTTTCACTCAATTTTTTCAAATAAATTTAAGTGAAAGGTATGAAAATCTGAGAAAAAGTAATTGCTTAGTTTTTATGCATACGGCACAAGGCACATTAAACAGGTAGTATCAGTAGAGCAAAAACAACATTTGCGTGTATTTTGTTGTTGCTTCTGGTATCGAAAGTGTCAAAAACTGTTCTGAATTTTTTCTTCTAAATCAAAGCGTGCCATGTGAAATACAAAAAATTATAAAAAATAAAAAACTGAAATTGGAAAAAATAAAAATTGATGCAACTTTCTTTCCTAGTAAA